ACGATAATGGTGATACGGTGATGACTGCAAATAATATGATTGTTTATTTGTTTTAGACCTAATAGCATTAACGCGATATCTCCCGTCTACTTAAAGAAGTCATTCGCGGAGGAAAAGGCAACGCTGAGTTATAATACTATAATATATATTTCAATATAATTCAATAATTTAGGTAAAATATTAAAATAAATAATACGCCAAAAAATAATTTAAAAAAAATTATATTTTTATGAACTTCATAATTTTTTATTTTATAAGACACGCTTATTTTAGATTTGCTTATCACAAAGGTTATTGTGACAAGAAAACCATAAAACAGACTTTAACGACTGCTTTTTAAGTAACGTACCGTATACCGTTGACTGCAAGTTTTAGTAAAGCGCGGAATTTGTTAAAATTACCAATTCAAGACAAGAGTCTCTATAAGCGCAAACAGAACTCAAGTTTTAATTGATCGTCAGCTATTGAATAGTGTCGTCTAAGTATGAGAGAGCGGAGGCGGGGTGACAAAACTCCACTAAAAGGCTTCCGAGTGTCACCTGAACAAGGAACAGTCGTTAACTTGCTCGGTATTACTTTTGCCAGTAGCAAAGTAGCTTAGGGCTGCCAGCTATCCGTGTACCTATTTAATCAGAGCTCGTTAAAGTTTTGTTTTTCACTACAATGTTTATCGTTATAGATTTATTTACCTACTTTTGGAGTTGTACAAACAATTCATAATATTTAAGTTTATGTATTTCAGTGTATTTTTCTTATTTTACAAACTTTCCCAGAAAAAGAGGAGGCCTATGCCCTGTAGTGTGACATATGTAGGTTACTTTTTATTCACTAAAAAAGTAGAACAAAATATTTTTTATCTGTATTCTACACGTGTGCAGTAAACAGTGGCTAGGCGTAAAATCTTTTATATGTTTGTAACCTACTAATTTAATAAGTTTATTAAGTTTAATTTTCAGAAAAAAAGAATCCGTGTGTGAATATAAAAAATAATCAAATAATTAATCATTCACATAAGAGCTTAGTGTGCCGAACAACTCTCCCAAACTAAGCACACCTTTCCACTCAACGCCCTAATATCCTCTTCAGAGATCATCAATTAAAACTTTCTGCTTTTACCGGAATAACTCGAAGTTATCTTAGCAACGCTTAGCGCTTTAACATTTTACTTCACCTCACATGGATTTGCTCTCCATTTATATAATGATGTCGTATATATTATACCAATCTACGTATCTCATTGTTAAAATAAAATCTTTCAATTAATTTTATTTTTATATTAAGTTACTTCAATCGAATAGAAATAGCTGGCAAATCGGCATTTTTAATAAGCTTTTAAAGATGAAGACATCATTCATTATGAATATAGGCATTCAAAAGCGTCCGTGACCATACTAAATATGTGACTGGATACTTAAATTATTTTTTCCATCTCAGACCAACAAAGTAAGACGGAGCGCTGCGTACATTTCAAGTGACGCAAAAACTAAGCTAAAAAACTGTGCTAACTTGAAAATACTTTTTCATTGTAAGAACACGCACTCACGTAAACAAATGATGCATATCTGTGTGTCCAGTAGCGAATATTCACGAGCTGATAAGGAACAAATAGAAAGATATGTGACTGAGTGGAATGCAAGAAATTGAGCATATTTTCAGCTTCACTTGAAATGTTCTCAGCGCTCCGTCTATCTTATTTGGTGGTCTTTTCTTAAGAAAAAAATGTATTATAAAAATATACTACCTATTAATGTTTCTATTTTCGTTTATATTTTTATATCTTTGATATTCGATTGATTATCATGTACCTGCATATTGTATAAATACAATATTATTATTTTTTACTTTCAGTTTTACTCATATGCGAGCACATATGTCACAGAACCAGGTCTTCATTGTTTAGTGTCGCTGAGTATTATGTCATTACATTATCTTTTCAACACAATCGGCTTAGTAGTCAGCCCCATTTATTTCACCTTTAAGTATATTCTTCGCTGTTGATTTATATTTTTTTTGGCAAACAAGTGACCACACCGTCGTCCATAAATATTAAGTCCGGCGTAGTCACCCGTGCTTTTTAAAAACGAGTCGCGTATTTTGTGAAAGGTGCCTAAGTCGTTTCAGTCAAACAGTTGGTGAATTTAAATTCTACAATTTCGTCGCATGGTAGAAAATTTCAAGAACAATGGACGGTGTAGGGCCAACCTCTACCGATCGTTTTGATAAAATCGATTTAAATAAAATTGTTTGAGAATGTAAACCAGTTCTATTATCGTCATATTTCACCTCATCGTTATAACATTTACCTTCTAATCCTTGAACACGATCACGTCATCTAGCGTTTGCATCTTTTTTTCTCTTTGATCTAATTATGGATACTCCACTGAAGTCACGAGTTCGTCATTATTCCGCTTCCTTGTTGTGCACTAAAATGGATATTACGCGTTCATTGAAATGATTATGTGTTCATCGAGGCAATACAAAAAGAAAGAATATTTTTCATAAGCAACCAGACGAATTTAATACGAGTGGCTGTCGGTCCGTAGCGTCCAGGTGCTCCTCGAGCTTATAGACATAGCTTCTTAAAGGATTTGATGATAAGAGGGCGGCACCTTTTCTTGCTCAAAGGTTATAATATATACGAGTATATAATATCCATTCAGCGAAGAAACGCAGCCACTATTTTTACATGGTAGGGTCATGCTGCAGTTATATTATGAATTTAGCACGAATGGGTCGGCTTGACCGGGGAAGAACCACGCTCTCTCAGAATACCAGCGTAAAATAGCAGACAAAAGAGCAATGCTGCTGTGCTTCGTAAAGTGAGTGTAGAGAACCGGAGACCTTTTTTAATGGAAACGAGGCATTTCACCCTCGTCATCAGCGGCGACAACGCATCTGCATTTTGATTCTTAATCGAATATAGATAAAGATGTTAATGGGCTACAGCATCCATTTACCATCAGGTGGACTGTGCGCTCGTTTGTCAAGCTTATAATTTAAAAAAAAATATTTAAGGGTTTAGTGTTAGTTTTTTTATTATGATAATACATAATTTAAGTTCTGTTAAAATATATTATAATTGTTTTTCTTGAAAATATTCCCACCATGAGATAATCTGTGGAGCGGCCTATTATACAAAGAGAACATTTGTTAGGCTTTAATAAATTATTGAATGATTTCTTGCCAAACTTCTGTGAATAAAGAACAGTCTGCAATGTAAAACTATACGTAATGAAAAGAAACAAAACATTTTGTTTTGGTTGAATACGAATAATGATTGACATTAAAGGAACTGCCGAGTTCAAAATAAGGAATAAATAAATTCGACTAAATGTTTTGCCTTTCTTTTGAAAGCAAGAAAGAAACATCTTAATTTGAAGCCGAATGATATATAATTGCACCACATGAATATTTTGCATGAGTGTTATGAGATATCTTTATCAAAAATGAACCAATTTTGATGATTTTTTAATTAAATAGGTTATATCATTAGGAGTGGTGTCATAAATGAAGAAATACTTCCACCCCTAAGTAAGTGAGTAGTTCCACCCTTAAAGGTCAGCAACACGTACCACAACCACATCACATCGCAGCGACAAAATATGGTCACGTGTGAATAATGTCGCTACAGCTTTTTGCAGTTGCGTTGTGGTTGCGTTGCAACCCTAGTCATGGCGTCAAAGCAATGTTGCGTTTGCGATATGGCCGGCCGCTAGTTCCGTGTGGTTCGGTAGTGGTTGCGTCGTGGTTACGTTGTAGTAGGTATCCCTTACGCAGTCGATAATGACGGCAAAATGTGGTACATGTAAATTGTACTATTCTTTTCTAACACAAAATGCGCCCGCCCACGTGTTGCGGTTATGGTGTGGTTGTGGTACGTGTGGGTAGACCTTAAGAATCAGACGTATTCCTTAGTCCACTTACAATGTTAGAAAAATAACTATTAACAAAATATTAAAGCGAACTTCATACTAACTAAAATTTGGGGATTTAATGATTCTATAGAATAAGTCTCAGCACCGAATTCAGAATGTGAAATTATTTCTTTCTTTTCGCTATTGTTTACTACTTTATATTAAAAATATTGTTATATCGACTGTAAATAATTGCACCAATTTATATTTCTAGGATATCTTCACACTTCACAACATGCGTAACCGTACAGGACAAGGACACTGCTGCTACTGCCCCATATCATCACTGGGTGTCTTGTGAGACGACAGAGTGAAATATGAAACAGGCGATGGGCATCAGCGTCTTCATGTCAAGAAATAAATCAATATAAAAGATGCAGTTAACAATTATAAGGTGAGGTGCCAACACGCTTGCCAAGCGTGGCAACTATGACGAGTACCTTCTAAGTATCTGAGCCCCTAAAGATTAGGCTTCTATCGCTTTAAATGTGTTACTTAATCTTCTTATCATTGAATATTCTAGCAGAAAACATCGCAAAAATCAAAGTCTTTGAGATTTTAGTATTAATATTTTTGATGTTTGTCCATAGGCAACTTCTACTACGCAGTAAGACTTCTTTTCTGCGTAGGAGTTCGTCTAGGCAGGTACCACACTATTTCCTATTTCTGCAGCCATATAGCAGTGTCTCCACTCTTGTGTGAAGGGTATAGAGGGCTAGTATAATTACAGCCTATGAGCCATTCAATCGAAGTCCTCGGGAGGAACAACTCACATTTTTTACGTGGTAGAGCCGTGGTAGCTCAGATGGTTAGCGCTCGCTGTAAATTTTACAGTACGCGAGCAAACCGAGTTCGATCTCCGCTGCTGTGTGTTGTGTGAACTGGTGATTTACCACGTACTCGGCGGTGAAGGAAAACATCGTGAGGAAACCTGCATGTCTGAGAAATATTATCTTAAATTTTAATTAAATGTTTTAATTAAAATAATATATTTTTTAATATATATTTCCTTCAGCGGTGAACAACGTGCCTGAGTGGTGTGCCATGCTTTAATTGTAGGACATTCATTGGTGTACTCTGATCACCATGGATGAAAATCAAATTTCAGAAGAGGAGGCGATGAATTCTATTCTAATTGAAATTAATGAACAGGAAACGCAGATTTGTTTACCAGAGAAATCCGCTCAATGTCAAGCAATGATTTACGATGAGGTTAGACCTATTAGTAGTAAGAGACGCAGAGAAGAGGATGAGGAAAAAAGGTGGATTACGGTTTCAAGAAATGAGAAGAGAGTGGGACAGAAAGTTGATGTATATATTAATTGCTTCGAAAAATTACCTAAACAGCTTGCTCTTGCAAAACTTTTAAAAACCAATAATATTAAGCATATCAGCCGTGTGAAATATGTGAACGCGTATAAAGTATTTGTGCAGTTTGAATGTGCAGAAAGTGCTGATGAGCTGATGAACTGTAAACCTTTTAAGGAGTTAGGATGGAGATTTCAAAAGCCATTAGAGGTTGCTTTTTCATACGGTGTCATTAAGGATATTGAGCTGGAGATGACCGAAAACGAAATGCTGGAGGTAATTTCAAGTGATTGCGAGCTAATAGGTGTAAAACGCTTAAAGTGCAGAAAAACGGATGGAAAGGGATGGGAAGATAGTGAATCAATACGGTTGCAATTTAAGGGCTCATCATTGTCAGCATCAGTATACATTTACGGCATGAAGATTAACGTCGACCCCTATGTCTTCCCAGTCACTCAATGTTCAAGGCGTTGGAGGTTCGGTCATAGCCTACGTGTTTGCCCCTCTAAAAAGATTGTATGCCGTAAGTGTGGAAACGGGCATGCTAATTGTGAGATCACAACATTTAGATGTATTTACTGTATCATGACTCACATGTCGTTGGATAGATCTTGTCCTATATTTATAAAAGAAAAGCGTCTAAGGAGTTTAATGGCTGAATTCAATTGCTCATATAAGAAGGCCTTACAAATATATATTCCTCCAGAACCTCAACCTGTACAAGTAGAACAAGAAACAGCTATATTAAAGACGGCTCAAAGATATCTCAACCCAAATACACCTTTATATAATAATATGCCTGAACCCATACCTGTGTTCTCTATCTCACAAAACGAAGATGGGGTAATGTCTTACGCAAATGTTACTCGATCGGTACCGCGCTTACGTTCTGAAATTACTTCTAATACTAAATCAATACCATTAACATCACAATCGGGTGCTATGGAGGTTTCGCAAACTTTACAAGAAAAAACTATAAGTACAAAGAGAAATAGGAAAAAGAAGCAAAATCAGAATGAAGTGTTTGAAAATGATATATCTACAGAATCAGAAGAAGTAATTAATAATAATGATGATGATATGAAAAGTGTGCTAAAATCAAGAAAAGAGAAAAAAGAGAGAAAAGAGAGAGAGAGCTTAAATCAACTGTTAATTTTAGGCAGTTACTTTCTAAGTTATATGCTATATTTACAAATTCACAAGTACAACTTAAGAACAAAATGATTCAAGGAATGTCAATAATTATTGCATGGTTAGTACCGATGGTGGGGCAGTGCATTTGGGATTTGCCTTTTAAAAGCTTTTTTTAGTCAATAATGAATAATAATTACAACACAAACATCTTTCAGTGGAACTCACAAAGTATTAGGCCCAAACGCACGGAATTCGACCAGCTGTTAAATAGCGAGAAAATTCATATTGCTGCCATTTGTGAGACACGGTTGAATGCTGAAGCTTAAAATAAGTGGTTACAATATTTACCGCAAGGACCGAGATGATTCGTATGGTAGGGTTGTTGATTGTTCACACAAGTCTTTAAAGACTCGACTGATATCTATCCAAATTTCTAATCGCGGAATTGAAATAATTTGTATTAAGATTTTTAACTGTACACATATAGATTACATACTCTCTATATATTGTCCACCTACCATACGAACTTCTCAGAATGACTGGGATGAAATATTTTCTTTTAAAACTAACAAAACATTGATTCTTGGGGACTTCAATGGGCATCATCCAAGCTGGTTTTGTAAGGCTGATTTAAGAGGCACGAATATTTTTGACTCTTTAATTGAAAATAATTTTGTTTCCTTGAATGATGGCACAGCTACTCGCGTTAAATTAGTAAACGGAATAGTACAGGAGTCATCCCCTGACATTTCTATTGCTTCTTCGGATTTAGCGTTGCAGTTAGATTGGAAGGTTACTAATGAGTCATTGAGTAGTGATCATTTGATTGTTAAGATTAATTTATCTCATCACAATAGTCACCATCAATTTCTAAAGAAAAGGAACTATAAGAAAGCAAACTGGGATGGATATAGCTCCTATTTAGAATATAAATTTTCAAGTTTTGCTTTTATCAATAATGATCCGCAGAAAAATTACGATTTATTTCTTAATATGGTCAATGAAGCCGCTGATGCTCATATTCCTTTTTACAGAACCAGCCAAGATCCCTCACAACATTTTTCTCCTAAAGTATATTGGAATACCAACTTACCTAAATCTGTTGCAGAAAGACGCCTAGCTCTTGCTTTATTTAGGAAAAACCCTACTCATCAGGAGTTGCGTTGCGTTGCGAACTTAGATAAATTAAAAGATAAAATTAGAATTTCACAACTGCTAATTAGAATGGCAACTAGAAAATCTTTCTCTAATTTTTGCTCTTCGATTGATGAGTCTATTACTGTACACGGAATGTGGCAAAAAATTGAAGTGGTTAAAAGGTTATGGGTGTTCTAACACAAATAGGAGTTATGTTGATCTAACAATTGCAAATGAGCATTTCCACAGTTTGACACCAGACTTTGTTTGTCCAAAAGACCCTGCTTTTTCATCTCGTAACACTGAAATTGACTCTCCTTTTTCAATGAGCGAACTAACGTGCTGTTTTAAAACAAAAGATACTTCTCCAGGTGTGGATAATATATCCTATTCCATGATCAAACATCTTCCCAAAAACGTATGTATTATTTTATTCAAACTATTTAATTTATTTTACTAAGTTTTGTACCATTCCAATGGCGAGAAATACGTATTATACCAATCACAAAAACAGGGCGTGACACTTCAACTTTATCTTCGCTTCGATCTATTTCACTTATGTCATGCCTGAGTAAAATCTTCCATGCTATGTTGAGTAATAGATTGGAATGGTTGATGGAGAATGAAAATCTATTTTACGAAGAGACTACTGGATTTACGAAAACAAAATCATGCCTGGATAATCTTAGTAATTTAGTCAGTAGAATACAATTGGGATTTTCAAAAGATCAAATCACAACAGGTTGCTTTATTGATGTAGATAATGCGTACAATAACGTAGATATTACGGCTATGTTAGTAAATTTGGATCGATTAGGTGCTGGTTCAAAAGTTTGTAAATATTTATGGACTTCTTAAAGGAACTATACTTAAGTGTCTAGGTGGACAATGTTATTTTATCTAGATCTACAGGTCGAGGAATTGCTCAGGGTGACCCTATCGCTCCACTACTATTTAATATAGCAACTATTCATATTTGTAAACAAATTAATCCTAATGTATGTATTTCTCAGTATGCTGATGATTACGTGTTATATGCTTCCGGTAAAAATTTAAATGATACTTCCACTGAATTACAATTGTCCTTAAATAAAATGTATGGTTTGCTCATAGATTTAGGTTTGGAGATTTCAATGACTAAAACAAAGATCTGTATTTAAAAAAAAGGTATATGTAGGCAAGCTATTTCAGTAAGTGTTAATGATAATAAAATAGAAGTAATGAACTCAGTCAAGTATTTAGGGATGTGGCTAGGTGGTGGCTAGGTCTTTGAAATGGAATAAACATATTGAGTTTGAAGAAATTTCTAGAATTTTGAACATATTCAAAGTTTTAGTAGGACCTGGTTGGGGAATACATCCCAAGCATTTAAGAAGAATATATATTGTCGTTATAGGAAGTAGGCTAGATTATGGGAGTTATTTATTCGATAACAGCTGTCAAAAGTATATAAGTAAGTTAGACAAAATACAAAATCAGGCATTACGAGTAATCGGAGGTTTCATTAAAACTACATACAATGGAGAGTGAGCTATGTCTACCTCCACTAAATGTACGAAGAACCTTTTTGGCAGGGAAATTCATCTTAAAAGCTAAATCAATAAGAAATAACATCACACTAAAATATTGAATGAATTAGCACATTTTAGAAACAATAAATATTGGCGTAATAAAAAGAAGCCTTTACTATTATCTGTTTATGATCACTTCATTGATACCCCTATTCACAGTAGTCAAAAATTAGAATAGTTTAATATAAGTACATGGGTCAGTAACATAGGTTTAAATAACATAGTTGATTTAAATATTCCGTGTATTGCACAAGCTAAACGAAATTACAACAATTTTAGTCTAAAAGTAATACGTTTGGACTACATTAATCGGCAGTATGAAAATTATTATAAAATATTTGCAGACGACTCTAAAGATTCAGGCGCAATCGGTGCAGCCTTTTTTGACCCACAATGTAATCTTAGCTTACAATTTAAGATAGATAGTAGTATATGCATCATGGAGGCTGAGCTAGTAGTAATATGTGAAGCACTGTCATACGCTGCATCACTACCACAAGATAATATTGTGATATTGACAGACTCAAGAAGCGCACTCCAACACTTGGCTCGGTGCACCTTGGGTACACGATGCACACCGATAGCCTACACCGTTCTGGATACTATACATGGGTTAACATCCAGGTCGAAATCGATAAAGTTGCAGTGGATTCCGTCTCATTGCGGCGTGGAATATAATGAGCGAGTAGATATCTTGGCTAGACAGGCTATTACGGATGGCATCGAGTACAACATATTACCCCATTACACTGATTGTATTTGTATTATAAAAAGTCTATGTTACAACCTATGGAAAGAATATTTCGATTTACGTTCAAAAGAAAAGGGTATTTGGTACAAGACGGTACAGCCACATCCGCCTAAAATACCATGGATTGATAACCATAAGCTATCGCGACAGGATGCAGTAGTGATAATGAGGCTTCGTACTGGACACATTCCATCTAGAAAGTTTGCATTCCTTATGAAAAAGGTCCAGTCACCGAACTGTGATCAATGCGGTGTTCCAGAGGACCTAATGCATGTCTTGATGAATTGTGTCCACAACGCTGCCTTTCGTATTGATAAATGCCACCACATTTTAAAATATTTCGCTGATTGTAATATAATTTTAGCTGCAGCTGTGATCAATGCGGTGTTCAGAGGACCTAATGATGTCTTGATGAATTGTGCCCCCGCTCCTTTCGTATTGATAAATGCCACCACATTTTAAAATATTTCGCTGATTGTAATATAATTTTAGCTAAGCCACATTCTGACGATATAAAAATATTAGTCAAACTTTACAAGGTGAAGTTCTCGGACGCTCACTCACTTCTCAATGTGATTGATCTGGGAACTTTTCATTTTACTACTTTTTTTTTTCTAACTAAATGCATATCTTCTTCAACTTTCTGTAATTAATTATTGATTTAAGAACTTTATAATGATGAGAATTTTATAAATAAGTTTAAGTATACCTAATGTCATTGTTTTTTTTTTTGTAATGAATTAACGGAGCGACATATTCATATTGTGAATAAGCTCATTAATAAAGAATTAAAAAAATGTCTGAGAAATAAGGAAAAAAAATCGAAGACATGTGAAGTTCGCCAACACGCATTGGGGCAGCGTGGCGGACACTTCCTAGCCCTAATAACCCTCTCAAAAATGAGGGGAGGCCTGTGCCCAGTAGTGGGACGTATATATAACTTTAAGAGCCGTACTATATTATAGTTGTAGCACGAATGGGTCGGTTCGACCGGGGCAGGACCACGCTCTCATAGAGTACCAGCCTAAAATAGTAATGTAATGCTGCTGTGTTTCGTATGGTGAGTGTAGAGATTCGGTGACTTTATTACTGGAATCGAGGCATTCCATCTTAGCCCTGAGGGCAAAACGCATTTGCATTTTGATCCTTAGTTGAAGATAAATGAAGATATCTATGGGATACAGCATTCACTTACAATCAGGTGGAATGTGTGTTCGTTTGTCACCAAATGCTATAAAAACCTTCTTTGTTTATAGTTGGTTGCAGGTAGACTATAAGTCCATGTGAGACACTTCACTTTTTATAAGAAAAATATGTAAGTAAAACTGCTCTAATATACAAAATAAATCAATAAGTGTAAAATTTCTTTCACAATCGTCGTAAATGAACAATAATCATATTCTGAGGCGTTTAGCACTTTGTACCGGATTGCTCCGGACTTAAGTACAAAAGGTGGTGATCGCAACACCCAGATTGTTCACTTAATGTATTTAAATACCAACCGGACAGCAATACTACATATATAATTATAAATAAATAAAATCCTCCAGACCGAATCTCGGCCACGGCGGTCAGCCTCAACGGAAGCTAGCCATCGGCTCAGGACAGAATTATAGTGCCCAAGTGTATGCGCAAGCACAGGTGCACTCTCTATTCCCTCACCCTCATAGTCCGATGGGACGGTAAACCGACACAACCGGAGAGAGACCATGCGCAGGACCTACGGTTTTCCGTGCTTTTCGAGGCACGGGGTTGAGACACCGCCAACTTCCTTACTCCGGGCAACTACTGAGTTTATTATTTACGGAAAAACTCAATAATTAATTTTTGGGCCCGACCTGGGATTCGAACCCAGGACCTCATGATCAGCAGTCGCACTACTGCAAATATTATAATTATAACCCAATAATATTAACAGTAAAATCACTTTAACCTAATATCAAAACGCAATGAATTGATGGATTTTCTTATGTTTTAACAATGAGGCAAAATTTATTATTCTACGATAATTTGGAGCGAGTAATTATTTAAACGGTAAACACTTAGACGCACTTACTCAGGGCTTAATTGCTCTTCTTCTTTAGCTATAGTTATATTACGAGTTTGGCTCATTAAACTACTAAATTAGTCTAACGACAGAGAAGGGTCGCTCCTGTAAACAAGAGCCATGTCGGCTTCAACCTAACCCTGGAAGATTACCTAAATGTTGACTATTATTAATGGTACTACTTGCGACGGGCAACTAAAAAAAATTGGTTATAAATGTTTATAACATCATTTAGGCGGTATAAATCGTTATTAAATTCCATTTTTTAAAATGTAATTATATAATATCTAAATGACCGGCTAATTCAGTTGCACGAACTATAAAATATCCGAATGAATATGATAAGTTATAGTTATAAATTATGTAAGGAAATATTTTTATTGATAGAGTTTAGGTAAAGCCAATGGCGACCTTATATGGTTGGTTTTAAATAGGAGGGTCTTTTTAGCAAAAGCATTGCCTAAAGCGATTATCATCATTACAGCCCTACCCAAGTCAACTGTTGTCCTGGGCCACCTGCATCCATCGACTTCCTGCAAGTCCTACCAGGTCGTCACTCCATCTGGTGGGGGCCGCCTCACACTTCGCTTACCAGTACGAGGCTGCTACTCGAGTACCTTGTTTCCACATCGGTTGTCCGTTCTTCGAGCTATATGGCTGGCCCATTGCCACTTTAGCTCACTAATCCATGGGGCTATGTCATTTACTCTGGTTCTACTGCTGATATCCTCATTTTTAAATTTATCGAGTAGAGAAATCCTGAGCATAGCCCTCTCCATAGCGCGCTGAGTGACTTTAAGCTTCCTAATACGGAAACAATAGCCTCATT